AAATTTCTGGCAGCATATCCAGTGTAAACCCCAAAGAGGTGACATCAGCACATCTAATCGGCTACGACCCCCAGCACGACATTTTACCTTTAGTGCTTGCTAACTGCCAGTATTCATTTGAGATGGGTAAAGGGACAAAGATAGAGTATGACTTTGCTGCCTTAGAGAGACAATTGATGGACAGATTCTTGTTTTCTAAGTCACGAATTGAAGTTGGGAGAGTGTTGATGGTATGATATTTCTTAAAGCTCTTGTCTTTAGTTCTTGTTGTGATGAAAAAAGAAAAACTGGTACATGTATCTCAAGTGATGCTTGTCTTCATTGTAATGTTACATGAATTTATATCCTTTCATAGACATAATCAACATAAACATCCCAGTTAAGAGTTAAGAAATGAAAACTATTGCCGGTAACAGGATTTTACAATTACAGACATATATTGGAGCAGTTTTAAAGATTTTGATTGTATTGACTTTGAAAAGATATTAAGATTACAATAAATTACATTGACTTACCTTTCCAACATGTCTGATGATATATGATTTTTTTAAAATAGTATATTCTGAATAGTGACTGGGAACTACTAAGGTTTGTCTAACAAGGTATCAAGGAGTATGTCACACCTTTGACTGTATGGTTTCAGGTTGTGCATTGATGGCAGTGGTTTATTTTTGTTACCATTCCCCCTTGCACCAGCTTAACCAAAATTTGATAATCGTATTTGATAAATGGTTAAATACTTTTTAATTTATTAATTAGATTGACCAGATGGTGTACAGAACTGAGTTCACTGATGCTGAAGTCTTCAGAAAACTGTCTGAGAAAATACCTCAGGTAAAACATATTTTAACATAATTATTATCTTTCTGTAATTGCAATCAGTGTTACTACTGCAAAAATTAATCCTTTTCAACTTACTATTTTCAAGGAACATTCTGTTAAAGAAATTACTCTGTTATTACTTTTAAAGCATTTAAGTCAGCACTCCTATTATGTGAAACAAGTTATATTATGTTGAGTTTCTTTCAGGAAAATTTGAGTGCAGCAGTTAAGACTCAAATATGTGCTGAGATAAAGACGCTACCAGATATTTGTACATCACTGGACAATCTAGACATTACAATAAGTTTTCTCAAGACGACAGGAGGTCAACCAGAGAAAACTTTACATGAATTCATGGGGAACACACTGCAAATGAAAACCACAATACATAGTCAAAAGGTGATTGTACTTCAATTTTTCTATATGACCCAATATTATTTAAATTTGAATTTCAAAAATGTAAAAGGTTTATATTCATTTGATAAAAACAAAGCAAAAACTAATTAAAAATGTATGTACATAACATTTAACCAATGTACAATTATACAGTGTCTGAATTGTTGTCTATGTACTAACTAATATTTTAATGTTGTGTTTGGCTCTGACTTTACATTTATGATTGTATTTGTGTTAGTTTAGTTTCTTTATCCTATTTCTAGCTCACCTGTCCAGCTTTTGTGATCGTTTTTCATCCGGCGTCCGGCCATCCGTCCGTCCGGCGTCCGTCCATTCATAAACGTTTACTTTAAACGACATTTCATAAACCGCTTAGCCAATTTCATCCAAACTTCACAGGAATGTTCCTTTGGAAGTCAACTTGAAAATTGGGCAAAGAATTTAATGCCATGCAGAACTCTGTTTGCCGTGGCAACCAAAAGAAAAAACTTAAAAAATCTTTTAAAAAACTGAAAGCTTGAGCTAAAATATTTGACATGAACCATCGTCTAGTCAGTGTCTACAAAGTTTGTTCAAATAAAATTGGGTCATTGATTTTCCTTATTTGTATAAAGTAAAAGTATTAAAAATCTTCTTTTATAACATGTGTATAAAAACCAAATAGCTAGAGCTTAGATATTAAACATGAAACATCTTCTAGTGGGTGTCAAAATTGGCCCTGCCCCAGGGGGTCATTTTTTCCTTTTAGGTATATAGTAAAAACTTTAAAAATCTTCTTTTTAAAAAACCAAAGAGCTGGAGCTAAGATATTTAGCATGAAACATCTTCTAATGGGTGTCTACCAAGTTTGTTCAAATAAGGGCACTGGGGTTAAAATTGGCCCGGCCCTGGGATCATTGATTTTCCTTAATTTTTTGTATGGTAAAAACTTAAAAATTCTTCTTTTAAAAAACCCAAAGAGCTAGAGTTTAGATACTAAGCATATTATACTTTCTATTGATTGTCTAGCAAGTTTGTTCAAATAAAAGCTGATGGGCCAAAATTGGGGGGGGGGGGGTGTTATCTTTTAAAAACCCCATCATGGCCCTCGTGTTTATTCATTATTGTATGTGGCCTTTCAATATATCATACATGAAAATATGCTTTTAAGGAAACAAGTTTACAAATATATCAGTTTTGGAAAATATTCAGAATTGACTAAGAATAAGAACCCACTGGTTTTTATAGTATGGTAGGCTAATAACATTATTACAAATTCATTGTAGGCCCAGCAGGCATGTGAGTTGAGACATGCACAGTCACTATGGTTACTGCTGTCACTACAGAAATCAAAGAAGATGATTGGGAATAATCAACACACAGAGGTAGGTTGACAAAGTATTTTCACTCTCTAAACTGCAGCTGTAATTATTTTATTTTGCATATATTTTGAGGTCACTTTGAGAGTTTCTGTACAGGTCTGACTAGACATACTGCGAAATTCTAAGATTGTGCAGTTTTAAATCATGGCAGTACATAACATGGGTTTAGGATTACCTTAAAAGTTTATAGTTGATTAAACTATATGTGTTTTTGGGTTTTTGTTTAAAATTTAAAAAATACTGTGTTAATTATATTTAAAATTATTATTTGGGAGATAAATTCATAAAAATTTAAAAACAAAAGAAGGGACAAAAAACATTAAAAATTTCAGTCCCCCATTTGAAAATGTAAATTTTTAAAAGTTCCCCGAAAGGAAATTGGGCCAAAAGAGGGGTTATGACAAAAATTTTCAGGGGGTTTTATTTAAAAAATTGTCAAAATTTAGAAAATAAAACCCGTTTGAAAAAATTCAAAGAGTTATAGTTGGGGCCCGGGCAAAGGGCAAAAAAGGAAGGGGCGAGAGAAATTTTAAATTTATACAACCAAAACCAAATAAAAACCCCTTTTTTGATCCCCCTTTTTTAAATTTATTTGTCAAACATTAAAAAACTAAAAAAAAATTTTAGTAAAATAATTTTTTTCCAAACAACCCCGTAAAAAATTTGGGAAAGATTATATAGATCTTTTTTAAAATCTTTTCTGGCTAAATCATTAAAATAAGTTTTTGTTTTTCATTTTCGTTTTTTACAGATAATAAAATTTTTTGGAAACTTTTTGGGGAAAAAGTTTCAAAAAACCTCAAAAATGCTTTTTTATTTTAAACCCTTTTCATGGCCTTTTTGATGTTACCCTTTTAAAAATACCTTTTTTATTTTGGTAACCCAACCCCGCAAACTAAAGGGGTTTTCCCTTAAAATCAAATATAAGCATTATTTGTTTTTTAAATGTCTTTTTTTTTTACCCGACTTGGAGAAAGGCTGCCTGGATTTTGTAGGGCAGCAAAGGACAATTTCCCCTGTTTAAAATTTGGCAGACTAAAAAGGGCCTTTTCCCCAAAACTTTTTAAAATAAACAGTGTTTATTTTTTTTGGGTGTGTACATTAAACCCTTTTGTTGAGAGAAAAAACAGGAAATGGAAACTATTTGCAAAAATTTTGAGAATTTCTCAAATTTTTAAATGTAAGGGGCCGCAAAAAAAATAAAAAAGACCCAAATGTTCAAAAAACTGTTTATGGGGTTTGAAATAATTTTTTTAAAAAAAAAAAGGGGTATTTGGGTAGTGATAATTTTAAAGGGAGGGCCCTCATAATACGGGATTTCTTTTTAATTTTTTGTTTTTGCATGTTACACAACAAAAAAAATATGGCCCCTTTTAATTTGTTGTGATAAACTGTTCGTAGAAAGAAGGTTTTTTTATTGTCCAAAATTTAATTTTAAAAACTTTAAAAAAGTTTTAAAATTATAAAAATGTTTAAGGGGTTTTCCCGGGGAAAGAGAAGCATGGAGACTGTGATGGTTTATTTAAAAACAATTAAAAAAACAAGGGGGGAATAATAATAAAAAAGGGGTGATATTTTTGTTGAATTGAGTTATAATTATATCATGTATTATTGTGGGTTTATTTTTGATTTCTTACCTGATACTTGACACTACATTAAATATTTAATGTTGCTGTTTATTATAATCGAACCTGTTTTGGATTGGTGTTTATTTATGTTTTAAGTTTACTACAGACAATTTGTTGATTTTCTTTTATTATGATAATTTGTTTTTTTTATTGTATATTATAATTTTTGTTGTAAATTATAAAAGAAAATATTAATAAAAAACACTATTTTTGATTGGCACTTATGAAAACTGACATAAATACTTGCATGTGTTGTATTTTGTTTTTGGTATTGCTAATGTATGTAGAGATACGTTGGCCGTTTGTTTTAAAACATCATGACATAAATTTTAATGTATCAAATTGGGGGAAAGGTGGTATGGGAAACATGGTTTAATTTTTTTTAAAAGTTATAAAATTTTTTGCTTTTTGGGTGGTTTATTGAAATTATATCTAAAATTGTCTTTCCAAACCCCCAGCACTTTCCCTTAAAAAATTATTGAAATTGTTTTTGTTTTTTCTTTTGGCTGGCGGATTTAATATTGCTTTTTTTCTTTTAAGTAGGGAAAATTTTTTAAAAGGATTTTTTAAATTAAAACCAAACTTTTATTTTTTTCCCCAAACCCTAAAAGGGAATTTTTTAATAAATCTTAAAAACTGTTTAAAGTGAAAAAAAACTTTGGGTTCAAAAAAATAAAATTTTGTATTTTAAAAAATTGTTTTAATGATTCCCCCCAATTTAAAGGACTTTTTTAAAGGAATTTCATGTTTTTTAAATTGATTAAAAAATCCCTTTTATTTAAAAAAGGTAAATTTAATTTTTCCCCAAAACAATGGGTCGTGAATTTACAAATAAACAAGCTAACAAAAACTGGTGTGGGGTTTCTTTTCTTTTTTAGGTAATTAACAAGACGATAAAACAAATTTTTATACATTGAAATTATATTATGTTTAGCAGTTTAAAGTTTTCCTATTTTGTGGGTTGGTTATCACAGAAGAGTGTTTGTATGGCCACTCCATATATCCTTGTTATTCATTGGCAATATGGACGGGAGACATTTGAATATTCAATGACACTTTGTAGTAATTATCGGATACCGAAGTAAATCTTACAGGTTATAAAGAATGGTATAAAGATTTACATGGTATGTGTATAATGAAACTTAACAAACACAACCCTTGCATACCTAGCCTCGGTGACAAGGAGTGAAAACTTTCAGCTTCATTTTGAAGGTATTTGTAGGTTCGAAACCTAATGAAACATTATTTTATTGGTCGTAAGCCGTCTAAAATCAGTTTGAATGTCAGCAAAAACATGGGAGAAATAAATATAAGAATAATTTTCAATGGTCATTTTAAAAATACAAACAGAAGTCTGGGAATCTCATTGGCCATTCTAAAATAAAATGTAAAAAGGTAGTTCTTGCCATACTTGAATGAAATTATAAGGGTAGCTCGAAAATAAAAATGTTAAAGAATAATTTCTTGACATTTTAAAATTAAAATGTAAAGGGATTTTTCAAAAGGATAGTAAGTTCTTTGAAATTTCTACTTAAACTTGCTAAGGTATTTTAAGTTCTGTTTAACCATACCTTTTTCCTCCACAAAAAAATTTTACAATGCGTTTTAGAATCTCATTGCATTTTCTTTTTAGTGAACATTTTATTTTACAATAAAAAACTTAGTTTATGTTACACAAGAGGATACTGAGTAATAGCGAAACCGTAAATGGCGTTCACGATCAAGTCAGTTTACTTGTGATCAACACACCAAAGAAGCCGAACTTATCAGGTACCTCAGTTTATGATGTTTTGATAAGTGTCCAATGTATTATATGATCAGGGATAAATTGATAAAACGTTTATATCTTTTATATTATTTCGCATATTTAAAATAATTGCCTACCGACTGCGTAGATGTCGGTGTTCGACATTAAATTCCCTTAACAAATGCGACAGGTTCATTTGGGAACATCCACATTTCAATGTAAAAAAAACAACATTGTTTAATCTTACCATTATTTATTCTGTCAATTGTAACTAGGACAAAAAGAGATTGTAACAAAAATATCTTTACATATGAAAGGTTACTTTCGATTTCAACCCTGTTTTTCAGTATTTCACTCTGTACGTAATTATTTTTCAAATCTAAAAAGACTGTCAATAAGAAAGGTACAAGGCTTAGAGCTTTGATAATTTGTATAATTATTATATAATTATTGATCCTCTACGGTCAAAGTTGTTAGTATCAAAATTGGCCCCCACCCTAGAGGTTAAAGGTCTTCCTTATATTCTTGTATGCATGTAGTAAAAACTTCATTGATGCCAGCACTATTAAGTGTTGAGAATTGAGTACCGCTCAAGCCGTGCTAGGGGCGTGAGGGATGTTGCACTTATTCATTATCCCTCATGTACAGACTCAATGAAACCGAGTCTGCAATTTTCATGTAACTTTGTTGTGATTTATGCTTTTGAGGGATCACTTTGTTTCCAGATTTTTGTGATTTGGTCTTTCACCACCGTTTATCCACTTCATAACAATTTTGATGTTTTCCTCCATTATTGAGCATCATGTAAAGTGATATCAACAGATACGATTTCTTCTAATGTAGATGAATCAGTTTGAAGTTGTGCCACGAAATGACTCTTTTTCCTGCACAAAATGACTAGTAATTTCACACTGTTTACATGGTATTCTTGAAACTGCATCTGTGTTGGTATGTTATCCACCCGGTATACATGTATGCTCAATTTTCATATAGTAAGCTGATAGAATTTCAATCCATCTAGCGACTTGACCATCGGGGCTTTTAAAGTTCCTGAGCCATTTCAAGGATCCACGATCTATTCTTTCCAGCCAAATAATTCCTAAGGTGATTCACAAAATTTAAGCTTCTTTAATTCTTCAAACATTATTTGTGTTCAGATATGGTCGTTGTGTGACTGGCATAGGCATTAAAATATTCCTTGCCATGAATATCTGTAGCCAAAATAGCATCTATAGATTCATGACATGCATCAAGAATAAACAGCTTTGAAAAATCAGAATGAGACAGTTCTGGAGACTGAACTTATTTTTGTTTCAATGTTCTAAATCCTTCAAAACAATACTGTGTCCATATAATTCCCTGTTTTTCTGACTTAAACGGCGGGGCGGCTTTGCTATAGCAAAGGAATTATCAATTAACCTACGAAAATAGCTACCAAGTCCTCAGAAAGATCGCACTTTCTTTCAACATTGTATAGTAAAATTTACACTTAAATTTTTTACCCGGGACGAAGTCAGGATTTAAAATTTTCAAAAAAAATAAAGAAAAAATATTTAATCAGAAAGGGTTTTTTTAACCCTTTTTTGCCTTTTATTTTTATCTTAATCAAAAATGTTTTAAAATCGCTCATAAAAATCCCCCTCAAAAAAGGGCCCCCGGAAAAACTGTGTCCCCTTT